ACCTGCTTGATTTTTCCCGAGGGATTAAGGTTTTCTTGATCTCGGGGCCTATTGGAGATGCCTCTATTATCGATTTGGTGTTTTTTTTCCAGGTATGTAGTATGGTTTTTTGCTGCTAAAAAAATTAAAAGTCGTATAAACGATGAAAATATTTTATTTCGGTGCTATCTTCGAAGATTTCGAACGATTATCGTTCTTCTTCAGGCACATTCAGATATAACAAAAACACAGATAAAAAATATATATAATTACCGTCGGTGTAGGAGCATCGAGAGTATTGTTTCAGAGTATTTCTTCAAAAAGATTCCGTTTACGAAAAATTCAAATGTTAAAAATTAACGACAAAACAAATTACCAAACCTGTAGAGAAAGAACCATAATAACTAAATATAAGAAATCAAAAAAGAAAGAAAATTTTTAAACTTACAATTAACACGTTAAAATTTCCTTTAAAATTAAATAACTTGAGTCAACATGATGAGGGATGAAATTGGACTGAAGGTCATAAGGAACGTTCGCCAGATGATAAAGGTGAAAGAGTGAGGGAAAACGAGTGGGAATGAGAACGTCAATATAAAATCTTTCATCATTAAAAATCTGAAACATAAAATTAAAATAGAAAATCGTATTGTTACCATGGGAGACAAAAATGCAGGCCTCGTTGAGTTGGATAAAAAGTCATACATAAAAAAGACATTAACTTTTTTCAAAGAAAATAACATTTTAAAAATTAAGAATAATTTTATCTTTGTTTGTTTATTTATTTATTTATCTTTATCTCTCTAGCTCGACCTCTAGCTCTTCCAGGGATGCGTTCTTCCGAAAGGTTTTCTTCTTAGAAGAAACAACATATGCTTGTATAAAGCTAGATCTACACGATACGCGAACTGGTTCGCCACTTTATTGAAGTATCTCTAGCCAAGTACTCCTACCTCAAGTACCTCTATCTCTATCTCAAGTACCACTATCACTACCTCAAGTATCTCTCTATCAATTTTTACGTAGTGGTTAGCAGTCTGGTATAAAATAGTCAATGGTATTACTAATAACACCAAATATCTAATGAGGCTAAGAGTAAAAGAACGAAACAGATTCGGACTGGCGGTATTACAAAGAGCTTCGTAATTTTACTACAGGAGTTATCTGTAATGAGAAAAAACCTATTTCTAACCCATTGCTTCTACAGCCAATTCGCGAATATTATGGAGGCAACTCAAGAGAGAAGGTATCTGCGACACAATTAATTATACCTGAACACTTAAAGGATCCCAATACATTAAACGATTTATTTATTTCTTTATTAGCATCACAACATATAAAGAATATAATAGCACAAAAATAATAACAAACCTGCCAATAACAGGACCAACTCAAGGTACACAAGTACCTTGTTTTTCATTGGCCCTACCGAGGAGTTATGAAAATTGAAGTAATAATTAACAAAAATTAGGCTAGAGCTAATTTGGGTTTAGTTATGGACAAGAAATTGGTTCCTAGTTCATACTTGCAATTACGAAAACTATTTCGAAACAACCACTAATTATTCGCTTATTAAATTCGTTATTTTTTTCTGATTACAAAAATATAGGGTTCGACAGGTCTATTTCTTATTGTTTTAGAATAAAGCTAAAAATAAACTTTTTTTATAAAATTTCCATCTAGTGTCGTTGAGGAAATTAAATTTACAGTTTCCTGTAAGTTACGGGGCGGTAGGTAAAATCGAAAAAGTTAACAATTAAATACGAAGATAACTTCTGGTATTTAAAAACGATTTTTAAAGTGACACTTCAGAAAATTTTTGAATACAAACAAATGTTGCTATGTTTATTTGAATTAAATAAAAATATATGAGCGCCATCTATCGATAATTTATTAAGTCATTTAAAAATAATATTAAATCGTAATAAACAATGTGAAATAATGCAATCTATTTCAACTTTTGTGTAAAACAAAAACAGTTCAACAAATATATTAGTTTCAAATATCAAAAATATGTTTTTTTAATTTTTAGTTATAGAGCCGTAATTTACAGGAAACTGTAAATTTAATTTCTTCGACAACACTAAAAGAAAAGTTTATTTTTAGTTTTATTCTAAAACAATAAGAAATAGACCTGTCAAACCCTATATTTTTGTAATCAGAAAAAAATAACGAATTTATTAAGTGGTTGTTTCCATTTAAAAAAACGAAAATTGTGATGATATCTCAAAATCTAAAACCGACAAAATTCTTTTGACTACCTCATCAAATTCTCTGTAAAAAAGTGTCCATATAATGTCTTAGTTATAATACTCCACCTATAATAATAACCAAGATAATTACATTTGCGAGAGAAATAAACTTTTTTCGTGAATCAAAATCGTCTGTTATTGGGCAAAAGCGGAGAATTTTAAACAGTTCTCGTGTGATTATTATAAACATTCCGAAAACATTTTATTAGAATAATCGCTTCAGAATAATGCATCCTTCATCCGTTTATTCTCTGATGCGGAAGATACGGGACACCTGTATTAAAAAACTAGTTTCATGACACGCTTGAAATGCACGAATTCAAGTTTAAAAACGAGTGCTTTAAGTGTTATGAAGCGTGTCTTTTATGCTATTTTTGTAAATTGCGTTTTTATCGTTTTTTTTTTAACAAAAATAAAATAAATTTTGACAATGTAGGGAAATAGGTATGTAGCAGTTGGTAACACTTGAAAATAGAAATTTGAATTGACAATTAAAAATTGTCAAAACTAGATTTCATTACCATTTCATTACAGTCGCGAATTACAAAAAAGTTTGTTGCCATCGTCGCACGAGTTAAATAGGGATAGAAAAAGGGTTGGATACCAAAACGTATACTTGCTCTGGCCTAAATGAACGATAAATGTTAAGTTATTAGTTAACTATCATTTATAATATTTTTCGAAAAAGTAAAACAAGCTTTGTCTTTAAATTTTTATTAAAAATAGAAAAATATGTCAGTAAAACTAATGTAACATTAACAGGTAAGCGAATTAATCATCAAAATTCATTAAAAATAAAATTCCTTTAAGTAATCTCTATTTTCTAATCTTATAACTTAAGACATTTTAATGTTATGGGATTGAACATAATCAGGAACGATTTCTTGTAACCAATCCGGTTCAATGGTAGTAATATTCCTAAGGTAACATTTGCTGGTTTGAACAACTTCCGTAAAAATAACACAATGCGGTTTTTGCGAGTGCAAACAAGAACTTGGATGAATAGAAACCGCTTGTTTTTTATCAACAGTGACGTATTGTTTTCCGTGAGTTAACTCAGCCACATTTGTAAAAAGTCCCGAAATTAAACATTTTCTTATTTGATCCATATTACTACCACATGAGGATAAAGGTAAATTAAATTTTTCGCATATTTCTAATAATTGATTTCTTACTTCTCTTGCATAGGTAATATTTCTTAAATTAATATAATGTTGATGGCACCAATTTCGTTTATTTTGTTGACTAACACCCGTATATTCTCTATAAGCGTTTAAATAAGTTATATGATCACCATAAGCTGAATGAAATCTTTCACGAACTGCGTTTGCTTCTTCTCTTTTAGCTGGAGGTGAAATAAAAATCGATTCGCTACTTAAAATAGCAACGATTGTTAAAGCTTCTTCTAAACATCCATAATTAGACGCTGTTAATAAAATTTTACTAAATCGTGGATCTAAAGGGAAAGAAGCCATTTGTTGACCCAATTCTGTTAATTTATTACTTTCTACGCTTTCTATTGCTTTTAAAACTTTTAATTGTTCAAAAGCGGATAATGTTGCGTCTTTTGGTGGTTTATCCATAAAATCATAATTAATCATATGAATATTAAGCGATAATAATTCTAAAGCAACCATTGATAAATTAGATCTTTGTATTTCTGGGATTGTAGTTTTTTGAAAACAATCAAATTGCGATTTTGTGTAAATCCGGTAACAATTTCCTTTAGATACTCTTCCAGCACGACCGGTTCTTTGACTGGCTTGTTCTTGGGAAATTCTTTGAACCTTTAATGTATCCAAACCAGTTGTGGGGTGAAATGATCGCACTTTAACCATTCCACTATCAATAACATGTTTAACCCCTGTTATTGTAATACTAGTTTCTGCAACATTTGTGCTAACAATTACTTTTCGAACGTTTTCTGGGATACTTTGAAAAACGGCTGTTTGTTGAGTTGTTGGTTGTGCTGCGTAAAGTGGAAAAACACGAACCGCGGGACCGTTTACTTCAGGATCTTTCGCTAACATTTTTATTTGATGGCAAACAGCTTCAATTTCTTCTTGACCAGTTAAAAAAATTAATACATCTTCGTTAGCAGGTGCTTGTCGATGGATTTTAAAAAAAGTTGCTACACATGCCGTTTGGTAATCTTCCTGAGGGTTTAATGTATAAAAAATATTAACCGGATATGTTCTTCCTTCTAAATAAACAACTTTTGAATTGAAATATTTCGAAAAATGATCAACATCCATTGTAGCTGACATCACTAAAATTTTTAAAGGGGTTAATTTCTTTTCTTCTCGAATTTTTTGAGCTTTTTTAACAATTCCAAAGAGTACATCTGTATGAATCGTTCTTTCATGGGCTTCATCCAAAACGATAAAGTTGTAATCCATTAATAAATAGTCTAAAACAGCCTCTCTTAAAAGCATACCATCCGTTAAATATTTAATTTTTGTTTTTTTTGAGGTTACATCTTCAAATCTTACACGATAACCAACTATTTCACCAACTCCTAAATAATTTCCCATTTCTTGTGCTACTCTAGTTGCAACACTAACAGCCGCAACCCTTCGAGGTTGAGTAATTCCAATTTTTCCATTACTATGTAACCTAGCTGAGTATATGTATTGAGGAATCTGCGTCGTTTTTCCACATCCTGTTTCCCCCAATATAATTAAAGTATTATAACGTCTAATTAAATCTAATAACTTATTTCTATATTGAAAAATTGGTAATTTTCTTCTCTCTTCAGCTACATTAACTTGAATTTTACCATTTTGACCATTGCTCGGTTTCTGTTGTTGCAGATTTTCATCCAATTTAATTCTCTTCGCGGGTGATTGTCCATTTTTTGAATTGAACAAGATCGGTGCCGGTTTTAATTTCATGGTGAATTTTGTTGGAGTCGTTTTCGTTTTTAATTGTTCGCACTTTGAGGTCATAATTTCCACACAAATTCTAACCTTAACGCGCACGTGGAATGTAAATGTTCCGATGGAATTTGGATTTTTATTCGGATGGGAGATAATCCAATAATCTACTTAATTTGTGGATCATGCATACAGAAATAAGTCACATTTTTAAATTGTTATAAATTGTGCGAGTGCGGATATTAGTTGTCAAGTTTGTATTTGAGGTTAGGTTATTTTATAGAAATCTGTAAATTTAATTTTTTTATTTGACTAAATATATGTTAATGTTTATATTTTTAGGTAATTTAATAACCTTATTTTTAAATTTACGATTATTATTTAATTTTACAATTTTTAACCAGTTATAATAACATAAAAAACGTAATCACAAGATTATGTCATGTGGGTTGTCTACCAACATTAACATAAAAAATACTTTTTGTTTAATTATTATATATAAATTATTAAACCTAAAGTATTAAAACAAATACTTTATAAAAAGAAGCTGTATTGCTAATAATTTTATTACTTTTTAAAGTATAGTAAGTAATTTCTAAGTATATAAATGTAGTTTTAAAAGTTTGTTATACTCAAAGTTAATTTTGTGGGTAAATTTGAACGCGACTCGGCAATCATTGAATTTGGGTTTTTATTAGGATGGAAGAAAGGGATAATCCAATAATCTACTTAATTTATGGATCATGCATACAGAAATAAGTCACATTTTTAAATTGTAAGAAATTGCGCGAGTGCGGATATTAGTTGTCAAGTTTGTATTTGAGGTTAGGTTATTTTATAGAAATCTGTAAATTTAATTTTTTTATTTAACTAAATAAATCTTAATGTTTATATTTCTAGGTAATTTAATAACCTTATTTTTAAATTTACGATTATTATTTAATTTTACAATTTTTAACCAGTTAAAATAACATAAAAAACGTAATCACAAGATTGTGTCATGTGGGTTGTCTACCAACATTAACATAAAAAATACTTTTTGTTTAATTATTATATATAAATTATTAACCCTAAAGTATTAAAACAAATACTTTATAAAAAGAAGCTGTATTGCTAATAATTTTATTAATTTTTAAAGTATAGTAAGTAATTTCTAAGTGTATAAAGGTAGTGTTAAAAGTTTGTGAAACTTAAAGTTAATTTTGTGTGTAAATTCGAACGCGACTCGGCAATCATTAAATTTGGGTTTTTATTAGGATGGAAGAAAGGGATAATCCAATAATCTACTTCATTTGTGGATCATGCATACAGAAATAAGTCACCTTCTTAAATTGTAATAAATTGTGCGAGTACGGATATTAGTTGTCAAGTTTGTATTTGAGGTTAAGTTATTTTATAGAAATCTGTAAATAAATTTTTTTTATTTAACTAAATAAATCATAATGTTTATATTTTTAGGTAATTTAATAACCTTATTTTTAAATTTACGATTATTATTTAATTTTACAATTTTTAACCAATTATAATAACATAAAAAACGTAATCACAAGATTATGTCATGTGGGTTGTCTACCAACATTAACATAAAAAATACTTTTTGTTTAAATAATTATTAAACCTAAAGTATTAAAACAAATACTTTATAAAAAGAAGCTGTATTGCTAATAATTTTATTACTTTTTAAAGTATAGTAAGTAATTTCTAAGTATATAAATGTAGTTTTAAAAGTTTGTGAAACTCAAAGTTAATTTTGTGGGTAAATTTGAACGCGACTCGGCAATCATTGAATTTGGGTTTTTATTAGGATGGAAGAAAGGGATAATCCAATAATCTACTTCATTTGTGGATCATGCATACAGAAATAAGTCACATTTTTAAATTGTAATAAATTGTGCGAGTGCGGATATTAGTTGTCAAGTTTATATTTGAGATTAGGTTATTTTATAGAAATCTGTAAATTTAATTTCTTTATTTGACTAAATAAATCTTAATGTTTATATTTTTAGGTAATTTAATAACCTTATTTTTAAATTTACGATCATTATTTAATTTTACAATTTTTAACCAGTTAAAATAACATAAAAAACGTAATCACAAGATTATGTCATGTGGGTTGCCTACCAACATTAACATAAAAAATACTTTTTGTTTAAATAATTATTATATATAAATTATTAAACCTAAAGTATTAAAACAAATACTTTATAAAAAGAAGCTGTATTGCTAATAATTTTATTAATTTTTAAAGTATAGTAAGTAATTTCTAAGTATATAAATGTAGTCTTAAAAGTTTGTGAGTCTCAAAGTTAATTTCGTGAATAAATTTGAACGCGACTCGGAAATCAATTGAATTTGGGTTTTTATTGGGATGGAAGAAAGGGATAATCCAATAATCTACTTCATTTGTGGATCATGCATACAGAAATAAGTCACATTTTTAAATTGTAAGAAATTGCGCGAGTGCGGATATTAGTTGTCAAGTTTGTATTTGAGGTTAGGTTATTTTATAGAAATCTGTAAATTTAATTTTTTTATTTAACTAAATAAATCTTAATGTTTATATTTCTAGGTAATTTAATAACCTTATTTTTAAATTTACGAATATTATTTATTTTTACAATTTTTAACCAGTTATAATAACATAAAAAACGTAATCACAAGATTATGTCATGTGGGTTGTCTACCAACATTAACATAAAAAATACTTTTTGTTTAAATAATTATTATATATAAATTATTAAACCTAAAGTATTAAAACAAATACTTTATAAAAAGAAGCTGTATTGCTAATAATTTTATCAATTTTTAAAGTATAGTAAGTAATTTCTAAGTGTATAAAGGTAGTCTTAAAAGTTTGTGAAACTCTAAGTTAATTTCGTAGATAAATTTGAACGCGACTCGGCAATCATTGAATTTGGGTTTTTATTGGGATGGAAGAAAGGGATAATCCAATAATCTACTTAATTTGTGGATCATGCATACAGAAATAAGTCACATTTTTAAATTGTTATAAATTGTGCGAGTGCGAATATTAGTTGTCAAGTTTGTATTGGGTTGTCTACCAACATTAACATAAAAAATACTTTTTGTTTAAATAATTATTAAACCTAAAGTATTAAAACAAATACTTTATAAAAAGAAGCTGTATTGCTAATAATTTTATTAATTTTTAAAGTATAGTAAGTAATTTCTAAGTATATAAATGTAGTCTTAAAAGTTTGTAAATCTCAAAGTTAATTTCGTGAGTAAATTTGAACGCAACTCGGAAATCATTGATGGAAGAAAGGGATAATCCAATAATCTACTTCATTTGTGGATCATGCATACAAAAATAAGTCACATTTTTAAATTGTAAGAAATTGTGCGAGTGCGGATATTACTTGTCAAGTTTGTATTTGAGGTTAGGTTATTTTATAGAAATCTGTAAATAAAATTTTTTTATTTGACTAAATAAATTATAATGTTTATATTTTTAGGTAATTTAATAACCTTATTTTTAAATTTACGAATATTATTTAATTTTACAATTTTTAACCAGCTATAATAACATAAAAAACGTAATCACAAGATTATGTCATATGGGTTGTCTACCAGCATTAACATAAAAAATACTTTTTGTTTAATTATTATATATAAATTATTAAACCTAAAGTATTGAAACAAATACTTTATAAAAAGAAGCTCTATTGGTAACAATTTTATTAATTTTTAAAGTATAGTAAGTAATTTCTAAGTATATAAATGTAGTTTTAAAAGTTTGTGAGTCTCAAAGTTAATTTCGTGAGTAAATTTGAACGCGACTCGGAAATCATTGAGTTTGGGTTTTTATTGGGATGGAAGAAAGGGATAATCCAATAATCTACTTCATTTGTGGATCATGCATACAGAAATAAGTCACATTTTTAAATTGTAATAAATTGTGCGAGTGCGAATATTAGTTGTCAAGTTTGTATTTGAGGTTAAGTTATTTTATAGAAATCTGTAAATAAATTTTTTTTATTTAACTAAATAAATCATAATGTTTATATTTTTAGGTAATTTAACAACCTTATTTTTAAATTTACGATTATTATTTAATTTTACAATTTTTAACCAATTATAATAACATAAAAAACGTAATCACAAGATTATGTCATGTGGGTTGTCTACCAACATTAACATAAAAAATACTTTTTGTTTAAATAATTATTAAACCTAAAGTATTAAAACAAATAATTTATAAAAAGAAGCTGTATTGCTAATAATTTTATTAATTTTTAAAGTATAGTAAGTAATTTCTAAGTGTATAAAGGTAGTCTTAAAAGTTTGTGAAACTCAAAGTTAATTTCGTGGGTAAATTTGAACGCGACTCGGCAATCATTGAATTTGGGTTTTTATTGGGATGGAAGAAAGGGATAATCCAATAATCTATTTAATTTATGGATCATGCATACAGAAATAAGTCACATTTTTAAATTGTTATAAATTGTGCGAGTGCGGATATTAGTTGTCAAGTTTGTATTTGAGGTTAGGTTATTTTATAGAAATCTGTAAATTAAATTTTCTTATTTGACTAAATAAATCTTAATGTTTATATTTTTAAATAATTTAAAAATCTTATTTTTAAATTTACGAATATTACTTAATTTTACAATTTTTAACCAGTTATAATAACATAAAAAACGTAATCACAAGATTATGTCATGTGGGTTGTCTACCAACATTAACATAAAAATTACTTTTTATTTAAATAATTATTATATATAAATTATTAACCCTAGAGCATTACAACTAATAATTTATAAACAGAAGCTGTATTACTAATAATTTTATTAATTTTTATAAGAAAACACCCATTGAGATTTTATCAAACATTTGTAAACAAACTGCGTAAAAATGATAACGATAAAGGCGATTGGCTTTAGTATTAGATCCAAACTAAAAGTAGACGGAAGCTCTCTAAACTTAAAATACAAGTATATAAATGTAATCTTAAGAGTTTGTGAAACTCTTAAGTTATTTTCGCGGGTAAATTTGAACGTGACTCGGCAATCATTGGAAATACAACCGAAAAATGGCCGACTAAGTCATTGGATTGTACAATTTTTTAGATAATAAAACGATTCAGAACACGACCGTATCGAATTTTTTTACCGGTTCTTATCAGACTGAAACGCGAGAATTTAAAGCTTTTGCTATCAGAAATGTTAAGGTAAGCGTATAAATGTTTTTCTTTTACCGCTTATTATTTTGTGAGCGCGGAACAAAACTTTTGACAGGTCAACTTGGAAAATTAATTTAAATAAAAAAAATCCCAACTCTTTCTTATCATTAACGGAAAGATATGAAAGGAAAATATACGTTTATTTAAATGTATGTGCCTTCTACTTATCTTTTCTTATTATTTCCAGCGATAACATCTCCGAACAGGAAGGAAGTTCATTCTGCTTGTAGTAGATGTGGTGCTCATTTCGACGGGATTCTTCCACAATGGAACGAATAAAGGACGAAGATCGGAAGCTTCGGCTTCGAAAACTTGAGGATTGGATTCAGGATGCGAGGGGCATAGGAAATATTGATTCATTACTCGATACTGTTCAAGCCTTATATGCTGATTGCGATCATCCAGCCATTAAGAAGTTAAAAAACGTAGAGGTTTACAGACATAGATGTGAGTTATTTATTTAGATATTTGGATACCATAAAATTAATTTTTTATTATATGATTTCGGAGAACCAAATTTGTTTTCCAAACAGCGGTTTATCTTTCATCATATCTGATATTTATAGTACACAATTTATAATCTTTAGGGAGTATAGTGATTTTAACTTTGCAAAAATATTTGGTTGATAAAAGTTTAGGTTATGAACGTTTTTAAAAAACCACACATAAACAAATATTTAAGAAATGAGTTTGTTGTGCAATTGTAAATATTCAAAAAGTGTTAAAATGCTGACATCATTGTTATAAGATTGCATGTTAGATTTCTTGGAAAAGATGATCTTTAAAATTTATTAATTTATGCATTTACAATGTTTAGGATAAACAAAAAACCCAATAAAAAGAAGTATATCAAATAAAATTAAAGGCAAGAGATGTTTAAAATGTCTATTAATACAATGGAGTGGAATAAAGAAGAAATATGAGATGGTGAAACAGAAATTTTAAATGGCAGATAATGTAACATTATTTATATAGTGACAATCAATGAAAATGAAAGAAAGAAATATAATATGAGAACTGCTTTAAATGTTTTATGATGATCCAACAAAGGGATCCCTGGTTTTGGCTTATTTCTTTAGCCAATGTACTGAATAAAAGATGAAGATGTATCCTAGGGGAAAGAAGGCACTTAAGCATCAACAGTTACAATGACTTTCCATTTACAGTGATGAAGATAAATTCTTGCAAGTTTATGGAAAACTGTCTTACTCAAATAAAATATCTAATGAATATATAATAGCATTAAGCAAATGAAAAGAAAAAGCAACTTTCTTCAACAACAAGAATGGCAACATGATTTAACCCATTTATGCCTAAATTAATTTTTTTTTGGATTTTCGTGTTTTCAGTGTTATTTTGCTGCAGTTTTTATCCTTTGTAACCTACTCAAGCATTATTTTTAAGAATATACTATTTTTTCCTAATTTTTTTGAATGTTCCATTAGTGAACTTTGTCAATAAAATCAATCAAATCAACATGAACTTTAACAATAAATGTATTGGACTTATTTATTGTCCATTATCTTGTGTGGAAGTGAACAAAACAGGATTCATGCAGATTGACTTTACATTTTTGACAAGACTATCTCGTGTTTTTTTTACAGAAAGCACAATCTAGTGCTTCAATTCATTTTTCTGCGCGGACAATCCAGTGTTTTCTTTTAATGAACGTTGTGCACTGAAATATCGACACAAAACGCAAACATTACCAACCACCACTTCTTCAATCTAATGGAAATCCTGTAGTTGTCTATGTTCTCATCCATCCTGCCTACATAAATTTATTGTATTAAGCTACTACATGAGGTTATGCAACTGGCAACGTTTTTTTTCTGTTTTGATATCCACCTTTCCACTCTACATTTTGGAAGTGTAGAATCATAAGTACTGATCATCAGAACTATGGTATTATCATACCAGCTTGTAATGGTTAGTTTATTGGCAACATCTGCACAATAGTCATAGACAAGTCCTTCTTTTCTACCACTTTTGAAGGCATTATGCGACACTTTTCAATTATATTTTATTTGACACATCCATATCTTTTTCCTGTAAATGAGTTACTAGTTTGCGTTTGGTATTACTTTTATTAGTCCAAGTACAGCAGACTCTCCTACATCAAATGCTGGTTCCTTTATAATTGCTTTTCTTACTTTTTTGTGGTTGTCGCATTTTCTTCTTTATCCGCTGAAGCTTTATCAGTTGCATTTTCTCTCGTCGGTTTTTTAAGTTGGTATGGTTCAAATTGCATCAAATACCCAAAAGGTTCGGTAAAAAAATCGGCTTTCCTTTTAAAACTTGTTTTTCCCCGTGCTTACCAAAGTATGGAATGTTCTGAGTATTTCAAACATTTTGAATTAAGTGTTTGCATCAATTCTCGTAGTTTTGCTAATTTGTCGCCTGGAAAAAAAGTCAAGGCCCCTCACTTTAGAGATCGATATTTTCGCAACCGCTCGATGAAAAAAGTTGCGGTAAAGTTTATTGTAATCACTGAACATTTCTACGTAACATATATTAATTTGAAAATTTTCGGGTCCGCGGTTTTCTTTTTATCGCGAGTTAAATGAAAAAAAGTACCCGATTTTTTACGGTACCGACAACTTTGTCATCTTTGCGATTTTTTTTCTCAAAAACCATCGTACGAAAAAATTTGAATTTTGAACAGATGGTAGTCTGATCTGTTCTTAATGAGTGGCATATTTTATTTTTTAGTAAGATGCCGTTATGTCGAAAACGATTGGGAGGATTTCCTCGCGGATTTGACCAAAATATGTCAAATGTTGTCGGATTCCGTTCTAAGTTTTTCAAAATTAGGGAGCTCTAATTTTGTAAGAGCGATTTAATGGAATTAGAAATTAAAGAGAAACAGAAATATGCCGGGAATTCCGTCCAATCGGAATAGATGGTGCGTTCCAGACACGACGTCGCGCCTTATTTCTTTATGTAGCTAAAATAAAGGCGCGACGTACTGTCTGGGACGCACCATCTGTTCACATTACAAGTACTGTCCATATTGCAAGATTCGGTTCCTAGCTCCCACCACATTCTACATCTAGGAATAACACAATAGACAGATAATAGTAGTATGGCCAAAAAACACTTTATTTTTTCATTGGAAACTCGGAAATTGTGCATATAACGTCGTTATTTCTGTCAAAAATGATATAATACTGTCATCAAGAAAAAGCTCAAAGCCTTCCACCGAATCAGAAGGAATGGGCGCTGATTGCATCGGTTTTTCAAGGTTCGGAAACCGAGAAATAAGATCGGATTTTTGCAAGTTTCTTTTTTTCGTTAACTTCTTTTGTATTTCTGACAAAGGTTTGTTGTCATTATTTGACTCTTCGTCAGTGTCGCTATCACCAATTGTGAAAGTCCGTTTTTGATTTTACTTGATTGGATTGAGACCATCCAGTTATTGATGTCCTTGCAGAAGTCTTCATTGCCGCTATCTTCGGCACATTCAGCACCATCATCTGGAGGAGTGATAAAAACATCGGCGGCCCAAAAATCGTCGTCTTCTATTGCTTGAATGAGTTCTGCAGTTGTGAGGGGTCTGAAATTATTAAAAATATTTATGGACCTTATATTGGAAAAAGTGTTTTTTTTTGTACTTATCGTATTTATTGTTATAGATGATATATGGAAAGGTGTTGAGAATTGTTATGGCAATAAACATAACGCATAATAATAGTTAATATTAGTTCAAAAATAGAAAATGTCACTTACCTTTTGCTAGTCATTTTTTACGAAACAAATTTTCAACTTTTTCTACACCATGATTATTTGAAAGGTGTTGCTGCCTGCAAAATCAAATTGTGACCAACAATAAAGCGTGGAGGTGTTAATGATTAAATCTTGCAAATATTAATCGCATTTTATTTTGTTTTATTTAATTATTTTTCAAATTTATTTACTTAAACATTTTATTTTTTTCCAGATGACAATTTTGCAAGTGAAATAGTAAATCTACGTATGAAAACGGACGATTACGAGCACATAAAAGTAATAGGTAGGGGAGCATTTGGAAAGGTACAGCTTGTACGTCATAAATACACTCGACAAATTTACGCTATGAAACGTTTAAGTAAAGCCGATTTAATTAAACGTTCGGATTCTGCATTTTTTTGGGAAGAACGTTACATAATGGCACACGCAAGTTCGGAATGGATAGTTCAATTGCATTTCGCTTTTCAAGATGAGAAACATCTTTACATGGTTATGGATTATATGCCGGGTGGGGATATTGTTAACTTAATGTCGAATTATGAAATTCCTGAGAAATGGGCTAAATTTTACACGATGGAGGTCGTTTTAGCTTTAGATGTAATACATCGTATGGGGTTTGTGCATCGCGATGTTAAACCTGATAATATGTTGTTAGATAAATACGGTCATTTAAAGTTAGCTGATTTCGGAACTTGTATGCGTATGGATGAAGATGGATTGGTAAGATCAAATAATGTGGTTGGTACGCCTGATTATATTTCGCCAGAGGTGCTTCAAAGTCATGGTAAAGGTATTTATGGAAGAGAATGCGATTGGTGGTCAGTTGGAATTTTTGTTTATGAAATGTTAGTGGGCGAAACTCCGTTTTATGCCGATAGTTTGCTAGGAACTTATAATAAAATCATGTGCCACGAAAATAATTTATCGTTTCCACCCGAAGTTGAAATCTCCAAAGAAGCGATCTCATTAATTAGAGGTCTTTTATGTGATCGTACGAAACGTCTCGGTAGAAATAGCGTCGATGAAATAAAAAATCACCCATTTTTTATAAATGATCAATGGACTTTCGATAATTTAAGAGATTCAGTGCCTCCAGTTGTACCAGAATTAACGGGCGATGATGATACAAGTAATTTTGATAATTACGAAAAAGATGAAAGTCCAGAAGAAATTTTTCCCATACCAAGTAATTTCGTTGGAAATCATTTACCATTCATTGGATTCACTTATAACTCTGATTATCAATTATTAGCAGCAAAAGATAACGTAGACAACGGTAACATAAAAAGTAACGATGCTCAAGTGACAAAATTAGAAATTCAGTTACAACAAGAACGCGAAAACGTTGAATCTTTAGAAATTAAACAACGAATTTTAATTGATCAGTTAGAAAAATTAGCTCAAAGGGAATGTGATTTACGCGAAGAAACTGCAAAATACGAGAAAGAAATTACACTTTTACGACATAATTACAAAGATGTTCAAAGAAAAGTTGAAAGCGAAAGTGAGTTAAGAAGAAAAAATGAAAAGTTATTAAGCGATGTTAAAAAACGTTTAGAAGAGGAAGAATTAAAACGCACGCGCGAAATGAATAATAACCAACAACACAACGACAAAATTAATTCGTTAGAAAAGCAAATAAATGAACTTCAAGAAAAATTAAAAGCTGAAAACGATGGGACGCAAAAACTTAGGAAACAATTAACTGAATTAATGATGGCTAAAACGACCGCGGAACAAAAAGCTTCTGAATATCAAACAATGCTTCAAAATATTCAAACTCATCGGGATAATTTACAATCAGAAATGGCGATTTTGCAAGGACAACTTACTCAAGAGAAAAATTCTAGGACGCAAGCCTCTGATCAACAAATTGCTTTAGAAGCTAAATTACAATTGATTAATACTGAATTAGAAAGAAGTAAACTGAGGGAGGAAAATATCGCGACTGATAATGCTCAATTAGTTGAAAAAATCGCTTCTCTCGAAAAAGATTGTGCCAGTTTAAAATTGGAATTAAAAGCTACCCAAAAACAGTATCAACAAGAAGTTAGGGCTCATGAAGAAACCGAAAGAAGTCGAATGTTAAATAATGAAGAAGCAAATATGGTTAAGGGTAAGGTTTTTAATGAATTGTTTTAGTTATTTTTAAATTGATTTTGTATTAATTTAGCTCTCCAAACAAAATTGACTGAAGAAAAAAGTGCTCGCCAAAAAGCAGATTTAAATTCTCAAGAAAAAGAAAGACAAATTTCTATGCTCTCTGTTGATTATCGCTCGATTCAACAACGTTTACAGAAGTTGGAGGGGGAATATCGCCAAGAAACTGAAAAGGTAAAAGGGCTTCAAGGTCAAATGGAACAAGAACAGCAAAAGAAAAATTTGATGCAAACTGAAATTAGTCAACATTTATCGGAAAACGCACAATTAAAAGCAAAAGAAGCCCAATTAACCATAGAAAAAACTCAATTATTAGAAAGTAAAAAAATGTTTGAAGAAAAATTTTACAACATTAAAAGAGAATTCTCAATGGAACAACTAAAAATGAAAGATATGCAAGAAAATTTAGAAAGCGAACAATATTTCGCGAGCCTATATAAAACTCAAGTAAACGAATTAAAAGAGGAAGTTGAAGAAAAAAATAAGTTAAATAAAGAATTTGAAGAGGAGAGAGAATCATTAAAACAACAATGCCAAATTGCTTTTGCAAGAGCTGATTCCGAAGCTTTAGCAAGATCGATCGCCGAGGAAACCGTTGCTGATTTAGAAAAAGAAAAAACAATGAAAGAATTAGAATTAAAGGATCTCATTAAAAAACATCATACCGAAATAGCTACGAAAGAAATGATTTTAAACGCTTCAAGAGAAAAAGAAATTGAAATTAAAAAATATAACGAAGCGTTAATGAAAGAGAAAGAAGAAATTTTAAGAGAATTAAAACAGGTTCAAGATGAATTAGTGCAAAAATCAACGAATAACGAAGAAATGCAAAAATTAAGGGCCGAATTAAAAAGGGAATCATTATTGAAGCAACAAGCTGTTAATAAGCTTCATGAAATTTTAAACAGAAAAGACTTAAAAGAAACCAAAGGAAAAAATAAAATTACCAGTGCGGATTTAAGAAGGAAAGAAAAAGATTTAAAAAAACAACAACAAGAACTTAGCTTAGAAAAAGAAAAATTACAACAAAAAATTTTCGAATTAAATGCACAATTAAATGAAGAGATCAATCAAAAACAAAGGGTTCAAATGGAACTTGATAGTAAAGATTCGGAAATTGAACAATTACAAATGAAATTGAGTACACTTTCCTGTGAAACTGCTTCTTTAAGTTCAGCTGATAATGATGCTGACGAATACGGGCCTGATTCTTTATTTGAAGGTTGGCTTTCGATTCCCAATAAACAAAACATTAAGCGACATGGTTGGAAAAAACAATTTGTTGTTGTTTCAAGTAGAAAAATTATTTTTTATAATTCGGAGAGTGATAAACAAAATAGAGATCCAGGAATTGTTATTGATTTATGGTAAAATTATATTTTATTAATTTCTTTTTTTATCATTCATCAATATCTACTCTTTCTGTCTTCTCCACATCTCAACTAGCTAATTACCAGTCTTTAATCCCATCAGATATTTCGGCAGATTTTTTGTAAATCCCTAAAATGTGTGCTATTTTCTAACTTGCACTACCCACCTGCATATCTTTACTTACAATATACACACCTCTATAGGTATTTTAAAACCTAACTCAACCTGACTCTAACCTTAAAAAATTATTAAATGATTCAACTTACAAAAACACTTTTAAGATTTTTGTATTTAATATTTTGATGATATTTATGTATTAATTATTTTTTGTTTCTTTTTTGTAGTAAAGTTTTTCACGTTCGATCTGTTACACAAGGCGATGTAATTCGTGCTGAATCCAAAGATATCCCGAGAATATTTCAGTTATTGTATGCGGGAGAAGGGGAGGCGCGGAAAAGTGATGAACAAGTTAACAGTTTGGATGTTAGTTCGATTAGGAGCGAGGACAATAAACCAGGGACAATAATGCACAAAGGTCACGAGTTCCTACAGATCTCTTTTCACATGCCCACCACTTGCGAAGTCTGTCCAAAACCGATGTGGCGCATGTTTAATCCTCCACCAGCTTTAGAATGTAGAAGTAAGTAATATAAAAATGAGGAAAAATAAAACCCATTTTAAGTAGAGAGGTATTTTAATGGAATATAAAGTGACAGTATTATAATAAACTGACCGGCAAAAAAAACCGGCCACTATAAATTAGCCAAAATGAATTGGTTGATTCTTCGGTAATAATCCTGCGATAGAAATTTTCATTTAGGTTTTAATTTGAGCATATACGGGCTGCAAGAATGAGAAAAACTTTTTTTTCTCTAAATTTGTAATACCCTGTGGGGTGCAACTGCTACAGCAGATGGTGTTAACTGGAATCAAACGGTAGCCCAATCTTTTCTGAACATCTTGTTTTTTTTATTCACTCTATTATCTCTATTACTAACGAAGATGCAGTGTTTTAAAGCGAACGCCTGTAAAAACAAGACAAACAAGCATAAAAAATCTAAGGTGGCGCGCTAGGTAGCGTATGTCATTTGTTTCGAATAATAAATTGACAGTAGTTAAAGATTTTTACAGTCTTTTAACATAATAGCAATCCCGTTGTGGAATCGTAGAACGACAGCTGTAGAAACTCGGCATCGTCTTCAAATGGTGCGTGGGGTTGATGTAAGTGAAAGAACTCGATCACTTTTATCAAAGACTTGATAAAAGTGATCTGACTGCAAGAAGACCTGCCAAAAGACCTCGGCTGCTCCAGAGACATCGGCGAGCATGTCTTCAATTTGGGCGCGTACATATGAATTGGGGAATGGAACAATGGGGTAAGGTGTTCTTCACTGACGAGTCCCGATTTTGTCTCCGGTCACCTGATGGTCGAGAATGAGTGTGGAGTTCTATTCCCATTTTATTGGTGACGGATTCATGCTAATGCATGTCATTGCGCGACCGCACGTATCACTTGTGGTTAACGAATATCTTGATGAAGTAGGGTATTGAACGGATAGAGTTGCTAGCGTGCAGCCCGGACCTTAATCCTATCAAATATCTTTGGGACCAACTTGAGAGACGCATTCATCGTCGTGCTGTCCTACTGGACAACCTTCAAGAGTTACGAATTGCTTTTGAAAAAGAGTTTGCCGCAATTCTTCAGGAATCAATTACAAACCAATCAGTTCGATGCCGCGTCGACTACATGAGGTTATTTTAGCTCGTGGGGGGCACACACGCTATTAATTTTCTTGTTATTATTAATTGTTACATTAAATTAAGTTTGTTTTCTTGTTTATTTGTCAACAGATGTTTACAATAATGAAGGACGTACGTAATTCTGTAATTCTAAGAAAATGTTTCATAATTGTATAGTCCACAAATCTTTCATTTCAACGTCTTCATATTCGCTCATCGACCATCGGGTAATAGACAAAACCAGTACTCATCCGTAAAAAGGACTTTCCTCCATTGCTTGATCTCCCAATTTACATGTAAGCGCGTAGATATCTTGGAAGCAGCCTCGGTCCTTTGGCAGGCTTCTTGCAATGAGACCACATCTAGCAATATTTCAGCGAATGGTTCTCTCACTGACATCAACAACATGCACCATTTGAAGACGATACCGAGCTTCTACAGCTGTCGTTCTACGATTGCTTAGAACAATAAAACGGTCATCAGCTACTATTGTCACTCGTCTTGTTTTCACAAGCGATCGCTTTAAAATACTGCATCTTCGTTAGTAACAGAGATAATAGAGTGAATAAAAGAACAAAATGCTCAGAAAAGATTGGGCTACCGTTTGATTCCAGTTAACACCCTCTGCTGTAGCAGCTGCACCCCACAGGGTATTACAAATTTCTCATTCTTGCACCCCGTATATGCTCAAATTAATATCCGAATAAAAATTATCTATCGCAGGATTATTACAGAAGAATCAACCTTTCGATCAAAAAAAGAATCATCAAAATCGAATGATTGGTTCGCAAGTAAGCCAGCTTTGAAATTGTGGCTACATTTTAGCGGCCGGTTTTTTTTGCCGGTCAGTGTAGAATAAAAATTTTACTTTGAGATTATACAGGGAATTTCATATAACTCACAATATATGAATGCAGTAACCATAGTTACGAAATTACTATGCACTTGTACTGTCCCACAAAAAATGCAACATAGCTTAATAGTATAGGGGCTAGTGGGGCATAGGGTAGTTTTGCAAAGGAAATGTTTTGCTTGGAAGAGGTGACGTTATTGTGATAACTCTGAGTTTCCGTCTTAAGAGACGCGCGGCTAAACCCGATACTTTCTAGTTCTAGGTCTAGTGTTAGTTCTAGTTTTAGTTCAATAAAAATTCGCAACATATCGCAACCATCTCAAGATAGGTATGGCTAAGCGGAATGTTTCTAGTTCTAGGTCAGTTCTATGTTTTTAGTTAGTCACAAAATTCTACATACTCCAAGTAAATTCACTCCAGTTAAATAATACGTCATATTATTGAACATTTCGTTTTAAAAATATTTGTTACTACCTGAATGTAGACAATTTTGACACATCATAACTATTTTATCATAATACAATCTTAGGAAAAAAATTTAAACTAAAATTAACAGCGCACAAAAGTCTACAACACATGTATAACACTTGAAATTATTAAATTAATCGTACTCAAACACAAAAATTTTAATATTTTATAGGTCCACCTTGCAACTTCCTGCCTGGAGTGGTCTTGGCATAGAAAGAACAAGATTCTCTGTTACACTGACTGGTATTACAGCACAAGCTTTGTTTAGCGCATCTTTTACATTGTATTTACGGCGGTATTATTATTATTATTGCTGCTGGGCTGAGGGGGGCCGGCCCCTCTCGTTACCGCGACCAATAAAATCTATTGTAACTTTAGCCCTCCAAAAGTTTAGGGCAAATGTAAGTCCTTGATGAACCTTAGTATTGCCCTGAGGTCTTGAACCTTTATGTAGATAGGTGTCAAGAGAGCTTTACCGAAAATTTTCAGCAAATGTTCAGCTGTTTCTGACTCGTCGTTGCAAGTTTGATCTTCAGCTTATCATACTCTTCGAGTTATCATACTCTGTGACCTGGAAGTTCTTTCCAGCGTAAAGCTACCTTTGAGACCTCCCAACTGTTGACTATTTGTTTTAGGTGGCTTTTTTGTAGTCCACAACCAGGTTGGGGTCCAGTGAAGGGCGTGTTCGCTGCCTCTGGCCAGCTTGTCCGCCTTCTCATTGCCCTCAATGTTGCTGTGACCTGTAACCCACCATAGAGTAATATCATTACCCCTAACGAGTTCTGTCAAGTTGCTGGTATACTCTCTGATTAGTGCGAAGTCACACGTGTAGGCCTNTAGACAATTTTGACACATCATAACTATTTTATCATAATACAATCTTAGGAAAAAAATTTAAACTAAAATTAACAGCTCACAAAAGTCTACAACACATGTATAACACTTGAAATTATTAAATTAATCGTACTCAAACACAAAAATTTTAATATTTTATAGGTCCACCTTGCAACTTCCTGCCTGGAGTGGTCTTGGCATAGAAAGAACAAGATTCTCTGTTACACTGACTGGTATTTCAGCACAAGCTTTGTTTAGCGCATCTTTTAACATTGTATTTACGGCGGTATTATTATTATTATTGTTGCTGGGCTGAGGGGGGCCGGCCCCTCTCTTTACCGCGACCTATAAAATCTATTGTAACTTTAGCCCTCCGAAAGTTTAGGGCAAATGTAGGTCCTTGATGAACCTTAGTATTGCCCTGAGGTCTTGAACCTTTATGTAGGTAGGTGTCAAGAGAGCTTTACCGAAAATTTTGTGTCTTAGTCGGCCTCTGGCGACGCAATTGCACAGTATATGTTCAGCTGTTTCTGACTCGTCGTTGCAAGTTTGATCTTCAGCTTATCATACTCTTCGCTTGTCTGTGACCTGGAAGTTCTTTGCAGCGTAAGGCTACCTTTGAGACCTCCCAACTGTTGATTATTTGTTTTAGGTGGCTTTTTTGTAGTCCACAACCAGGTTGGGGTCCAATGAAGGGCGTGTTCGTTGTCTCTCTGGCCAGCTTGTCCGCCTTCTCATTGCCCTCAATGTTGCTGTGACCTGTAACCCACCATAGAGTAATATCATTACCCCTAACGAGTTCTGTCAAGTTGCTGGTATACTCTCTGATTAATGCGGAGTCACACGTGTAGGCCTGAATTGTCTTTAAGGCGACCCTACTGTCTGTGAAAATGTTTATGGATGCACCTTTCTGTCCTTTCTGTAGGTTCAAAGCGGTGCAGAAGTTTATAGCAAGAATTTCTGCTTGGAAAATTGTTATATCCGAGCTGAGGGGCAGTTTAATGTGGCTATTTGGTCAACTGATGCCCATACCTACTCCGGATCTAACTGTCTTTGAAACATCGATGTACTAGGGTTCCTCTTTTTAGTTGAGGCTCATCCTTCGCCCAATTATCCCTGCGCACTCGGGTCTGATTATTGCTATTTAGGTTTAATGAGCCATTCGTGTTCCTTCCTAGGAGCCTGCGGCAAATCTGGTGTGCCATGATGGCCTTTTTCCTCATCTTATCTAAATGTGAGTTCCAGTTTAGTTTACTGTCTAGTGTTACCCTTAGGTATTTAACTTCTGTTTTGAGGTTAATAGTTCTGCTTTCAATGGGGGGTGCTTTTATTTGTAGCTTCCTTCTCCGAGTGAAAGGGATTATTTCGATTTTATTTGAATTAATGCTAAGCCCATTGCTTCTACACCAAGTACTGGTGAGTAGTAGGGCTTTCTGCATTAATTGAGTTATGATTCTATCATATTTAATTAATCTTGAATCCTTTTCTTGTTAGGGTGTTCATCAAGTCATCAACTACTAGGCACCATAGTAGAGGTGATAGCACTCCCCTTTAGGGACATCCTTTTTGTGCCTTTATAGTCAACGACTCACCTCCCAGACTGGCTGTGATCTGTCGACTTTTCAACATGGCTATACACCATTTGATTGTCGACGGATCATACGGCGGTATGTTTAGGGTCGTTTAGTGCTCTGCTGATTTTTTGCCTTGCAATATTTCCAAATACCGTCTATGGTCCATCAATAAAAATCAATTTTCCTAGCCCAGAAGCCCGCCATCGAGTCCCAAACCATTACCGACCCTCCACCATGTTTAACGGTTGGGAGCAATTTTTTTGTTTCCATTTTTTGTTTTGCCTTCCGCCAAATTTTTCCTCCACCAGCCGATCCGAAAGTATTATACTTACTTTCGTCAGTAAACAGAACTTTTTTCCAAAATTCAAAGTCACTTGTAAGATATCTTTTAGCACATTCAATCTTTTTCTGCCAGTTTTGGTGAGAAATTAAAGGTTTTCTTCGTGGAACTCGTCCATTAAATCTTAACGCCCTAAGTACAGTTTCTGGATGCACGACTTTATCGGTAGCTTGTTAAATTTCTTCTGTCAGTTGAGGAGCACATGTTCTGAGATTTTCTTTTTCCACGTTTTAAAATTGTCCGGATAGGTATCACGTTGATTTAAAACTCTTGCACAAATGCGTTACTGTATGTTGACTTTTTTGACGTTTATCTGTCAGTATTCCATTTTTTGTTCTGTCTATGAAGCACTTGCTTTAGTTTTATTTTATGTAGTATGCTCGTCAATAAACACAAGTAGTTTTAGATGTAATACAAACATGAATTATATGGTTTTCATTGCAGTATCGCTATTTTAGGTGATGTATCGAGATTTTATTGTAATGTCAAATTATATTGACATGTTGCATTTTATGTGGGACAAAGTACTTAGGTATGCTCTGTTTTCTATGAAAATATATTTTTTGTACTCATAGCATCTAGATACCTATTTCCCGCACAGAGAGGACGTGCGGGAAACGCGTTTTCCCGCACAAATGCTTTTTTGTTACCGAAACTAACTGGAATATTTAATGACCAAATGTGCATGTTTATAAGAAAAGGTTAATATAGTAGACGCCACGAGAGCTGGCAATAAATCATCATTTTCCGCTCTTACAAATGCCATACGTAGTTCACAAACCGCTAGAGAGTAATGTGTGTTAGAAAGAGATAGCATTATTTTAATATGTCTCCTGTACAATTCAAATGGCCACGTCGAAAAAGTACGTCTGTTCTTCTAAGGGATGTAACTCTATAATTATAACCTCAAATTGAAACGTCTTGTGAGCGTTGTCATGAATCTGTCAGTGTTTTCACAAGCCGAAAATGTTTTCTTAAGCCGTGTGTCCACTACCAAGTTTTCTTGCGGAAGTTGCTTCCAGAAGTTTTTGTCGTGTAAACACGCATGTTTTTGTCGTGTTTACAGGACAAAAACTTCTGGAACTCACTTCTGGAAGCAACTTCCGCAAGAAAACTTGGTAGTGGACACACGGCTTTTGAAAGGAAAATCATTAAATAATATTTTTGACAATGTTGTACAATACTCATGCGGAAAGGATTTTTCCAGCATTCGCACGCAAATGCAGAACTCACTCCCTTCGGTCGTTCGTTCTGCAAATTAGCATACTCATGTGAAAAGCGAGCCTTTCCGCATTTGTATCGTAAACAACTATTTGTATATTGCATCTTAAGTGAAATTCACTGTATATGTCTTGTTATCTGTCGATAATTTCTTTTTTAATTTCAAATAGGATGTAGAACGAAAATTCATAAAGAACACTTGGATCACAAAGAAGATAATTTGACACCATGCAAATTACATTACGATCCAACGTGCGCTCGAGAATTATTGCTGTTGGCGCAAACAATCGACGACCAAAAACATTGGGTGACTAGGTTAAGTAAGAAAATACAAAAGTGCGGCTATAAAGCGAATAATTCAAACACAGATACGGCGAAGATTTCCCCTCGGTGAGTTTTTAGTTTCAACTGTGTGCAATTTTTTTTTATTTGCATTTGGCATGCCGATAATTTTTTTAGGTAGTCAATTTTAGCTTAATACAATCAATTTGAATATACCATAATGTTGTATCATTCCAGTAATTTTTCGCTATTTATTTTTTTAAGTACTTTGTACTTTTAGCGTTTAGAATTGGAATTTGGTGCTTTTTTTAGTCGTAGATGCAAATTGTTCGCTTTTGTAGATTATTTTTTTAAATTTTTTTTGCTATTGTGAATGACTATGTGATGTTTTTGAGAAAATAAATTGAAACGAGGATTTAAAATTTTGTTATTTTGCTTTAGAAGTTTAAATAAAGTGGGAAACGATGTTTTAGATAAATCTTTTTAGAATCTATGCATTTCAGGCCAAAATTAAAATCTCTGGTTTTAATGGATGATGATGATGTCTAATTTTTTGTAAGTTATGTGTTACATTTTGTGTTAAATTAACACATTTTTAGTTTATTTATTTAACTTTTTTAATTTATTAACACCGCTTGTTGCTTTTACACCTATTTTATCTTTATTATTTTTTTTTTTGGGTTTGTTTTTAATGCTTTCTTTTTATTAGGGAATCGACTAGATCTTCATTGAAGCCGTACATGAATATTGTACAACGTTCCGCAACGTTACCTGCAAATTCTTCCATGAACAACAAATGAAAATTAAAACTTTTTATTTCGTTTAAACTACTACTTAGAGCTGTGAAATTAACTCTATTTTTAAAAAGGTTATCGCGATGAATGATTTTAAAAAAATTTTCTTAATAAGTATACTTAAAGATGATGATACTTTACTGCTTTAAATCTTAAACTTTGAAGATGCTTTTGTTCTTAGTTGAAGCATGTTTCGCTATTTCCTCTACTTTTGTGATTAATAAATATAAAAAATAAAAATAAAAAGGGCTAAGCACTAAAAAGTTTTTAAAATAAATTAATGGAGGCTCAATAGGTATATAAGCTTATTAATTTATTCATGTTTAATTCTTTTGTTACTAAAACAACTTGCCTTTTTAATTCTTTAATTTTTTAACTCTCACTATTACAACAGAGCATGTATATTTTCTTATTTATTATTAGTTTGTTACATTCCGGTAGGATATGAACAGCAGGAATTTATTTTATTTTTTGTATATTTTTGTTGTTTATATTTAGTATTTTTGTTTTGAATTGTACAAAGACTTTTTTGTAGTAGATTATTGCGTATTTGTATTACGAGCTATTGTATTTTTTTTTAAATATATTAAGTCTCCTCGATTTCTTCTTCAATTATCAAGTAAACGTGCCTTAAATATTTTTCAAATAAATTAATCGTTATTTAATTAAAAATATTAACAGTACACAAAACCACAAGGAATACTTATTTTATAATAAGCGCCTTATTTTGTATTTTTGACGATGTGTAAAACCAAAATCAGAACAGTTCTTAAATAAATTGTTCGTATTTATAGTAAATTTATGTTTTATTTATTGTTATATTCCTCCTATTACACTGTTTTAACGATAATTAATTACATCTACTGTTTCATAAATAAATAAAATATAAAAGCTCTCTAATATACAATAATAAGTAATAATTGTGATAATAATTGATTATACAGAAAATTAAAACAAACCTACTTTCTTCTTTAATTCCTGTTGTTTCCATCTTGGTAAATTTTTGAATTCTTCGTATTTCATTTTAAATAAAAACACGAAATCATCATGAGTCAAATGTAACTAAAAAAAAAAATAATTAGTTAAAATTAAAACTTAATTTATAACTTTTTTAACCTCTTTTTGCAAAGGATCAACTTTATTAGGCAATTTCTCCATAGATTCTTTCAACATTTTAACCGGATATTTCTCATAACAATCAAAATCGTTATTTTCAACGTGATTTCCGTTTGTGGTTTCTAATTTTTTCTCAATTTTAACCCCCTCAAGTTGAGAACGCATTTCTTCGAAAGCAACATGTTCCTAAATTATTCAAAAATAATTATTTACAAAACAAAGTAGCACCAACTCACCGCCCACCACGTAGTATTCCAATTTGGGAAAAATCCTATAAAATTAGGGGGCTCATTACCTTGTTTAACTTCAATAATAGGAATGTTCATATCTCTTCCGGCCGGATCTAAAATTAATATTTAATAAATTATTAACTTATTTTAAATAAATTTACCATTTCTTAAATATTCTAAAGCCATCTCCAAACTATTTTTGCGATTATAAGTTGTGCTTAAAGCTCCAATCCAAATAAAAATTGTTGAAAAAGCGTCTAAAAGCATTATATCTTCTGGGGTTAAATCAGATTGTGTAAAATTAAAAACTTCCTCAACTAAAACAAAATAAACTATTTTTATCTAAATTTGAGAAAATTGCAATAATTTACTTTTAAAATGATTTGTAATATTTGGAAAATGAAACAATCTGGGACATTTCAAATCGTTTTCTTCGATCGCTATTTTCGTAGTAAAATATTCAGCTTTTCCACCGAGAAGATCCCAAAATTCTTGAGGTTCTTTTCCTTCCAGAACCAATTCAAAATCTTTTCCGGTAAAATGTTTCGCCATTTCTCTTTGATCTCCCGTCGAATTTATTCCACTCCATACAAAATATTTTTTCGATTTTTTTAATACAAAGCAATAATTTGAATTTAATGAAGATGACTTTGTATTTACTTGAGTTGCTTTGCTGTTATAAGTAGCCGATCCTTGAACGTGTAATAAATAATTTGTTGGCGATTTTGTGTTTCGGCCAGATTCTAAAACATTTATGGAATAAGATTATAAAGATTTTATGTTTTTCATTATTTTTAACCATCTTGTTCAGTTCCTTTTCCTCTAAAAATAACCAATTTTCCTTTAAAAATTTGTAACAATTGAGGCGGTTCTCTTCCTTGAATAACACGAACTTTTATTGCTTGGCCACCTAGTTCATTTTCAATTTCAGTTCTTTTAGAAAATGTATTTAACATTTCATCGTCTGAAGCATGTAAACCCTTTTAAAACATAAAAGAAAATTTTCAAAACGAACAATACAATAAATAAATACTTATAAATTACTCTAGGGTGAGGGTGATTGGGGAAATGAGCAGTAAAAATGTACTACAAGTAAAGTATTCAGTTTTTTACTTTAAGTACTTTACTCCCAGTACTTTCAAATTGTAGGTACTTAATCCTTGTACTTTCAGTATTTAGTTTAAAATGTACTGGATACTTATTACTTGGTTGACATAAGAAGTACTTGAAGAACTATTTGTTTACTCCAAGTAATTTATCTACTTCCTGTAGTTTCAATAATATAGTAATTTTTTAAAGTTTTGTTTAAAAATCCTAGATAATCTTAGGAATTCTATGAAATCTTCATGGTATGCTTGAAAAATCAGTTGAAATCTTTTGGAAATATTAAAAAATGCCTAAATCTTTGGGAATAACTAAAAATCGTGGACATTCGTAATAAATCCTAGAGATCCTTAAAAATCCTTCCTATTTTTCTAAAAAATCATTCTAAAACCTTGGATACACTCAAAAATCTTAAGATATCGGTAAAAGTCGATGGATAGGTTTGAAAATGTGTCTAAATTCCTTAAAACTTTTAGAAATACTAAGGTGTATATAAAAACTTTTGGAAATCGTTTCAAAATCCCTAGATATGTTTGGAAATTCCTATAAAACCTTCTAAAAAATGAAATTCTGTAAAAATTTCTGCAAAATCCTAGATAACCTTAGGTATTTTGAGAAATGTTTATGGTATACTTGAAAATCCTTTAGAAATCTGGAAATACTAAGAAATGTTTACATAAGTGTCTGGGAAGAATTACAAATCCTTGATATTCGTAATAATCCATAAATATCCAAGGAAATCCTTCCAATTTTTCTAAAAATCATTCAAAAACCTTGGATACACTCAAAAATCTTAAGATATCGGTAAAAGTCGATGGATAGGTTTGAAAATGTGTCTAAATTCCTTAAAACTTTTAGAAATACTAAGGTGTATATAAAAATTTTTGGAAATCGTTTCAAAATCCCTAGATATGTGTGAAAATTCCTATAAAATCTTCTAAAAACATGAAATTATGTAAAAATCTCTGCAAAATCCTAGATAACCTTAGGTATTCTGAGAAATTTTCATGGTATACTTGAAAGTTCGTTGAAATCTTTTAGAAATCTCCTGGAAATCTAAGAAATGCTTACATAAGTGTCTGCAAAGAATTAAAAATCTTTGATAATCGTAATAATCCATAAATATCCATGGAAATCCTTCCAATTTTTCTAAAAATCATTCAAAAACCTTGGATACACTCAAAAATCTTAAGATATCGGTAAAAGTCGATGGATAGGTTTGAAAATGTGTCTAAATTCCTTAAAACTTTTAGAAATACTAAGGTGTATATAAAAACTTTTGGAAATCGTTTCAAAATCCCTAGATATGTTTGGAAATTCCTATAAAATCTTCTAAAAAATGAAATTCTGTAAAAATTTCTGCAAAATCCTAGATAACCTTAGGTATTCTGAGAAATTTTCATGGTATACTTGAAAGTTCGTTGAAATCTTTTAGAAATCTTCTGGAAATCTAAGAAATGCTTACATAAGTGTCTGGAAAGAATTAAAAATCCTCAGCATTCGTAATAATCCCTGGATATCCTTGGAAATCCTTCTAATTTTTCTAAAAATCAATCAAAAACCTTGGATACACTCAAAAATCTCTAGATATCCATAAAAATCGATGAATATCTTTGAAAATGTGTCTAAATTCCTTAAAATTTTTTGAAATACCTAGTTCTATATAGAAATTTTTGGAAATCGGTTCAAACTCNCAATTATTATACATCATTTTAAAGAGAAAGCTTTGAGCTTTAATTTAGAATAAGTTTCATTCCTTAATTTCAATAAATACGGCTTCCAGGAATTTTTAATGTAGCATCTTTTTTAACACTTTTAGGATATACGAAAATGTAAGTTTTATATCAATATTTTTTTCACAAACTTTCAAAATTTTTGGACTTCTTGGGACACAAAGGGTTAAGATATCGGTAAAAGTCGATGGATAGGTTTGAAAATGTGTCTAAATTCCTTAAAACTTTTAGAAATACTAAGGTGTATGTAAAAATTTTTGGAAATCGTTTCAAAATCCCTAGATATGTTTGGAAATTCCTATAAAATCTTCTAAAAAATGAAATTCTGTAAAAATCTCTGCAAAATTCTAGATAACCTCAGGTATTTTGAGAAATGTTTATGGTATACTTGAAAATCCATTAAAATCTTTTAGAAATCTCCTGGAAATACTAAGAAATGTTTACATAAGTGTCTGGGAAGAATTACAAATCCTTGATATTTGTAATAATCCATAGATATTCATGGAAATTCATCGAATTTTGCTAAAAATCAATCAAAAACATTGGATACACTCAAAAATCTTTAGATATCTGTACAAATCGATTTAGCCGTGCGTCTTCAGAATCCGAAACTTTCTAGTTCTAGGTCTAGTGTTAGTTCTAGTTAACATAGTGATATCTAGTGATAACTAGCGCTACCTAGCACTGTCATAAGAACTAACACTAAACCGAGAACTAGAAACATTCGGATTTAGCCGAACGTCTCTCAAGACGGCTAAACCAGAATGATTCTAGTTCTAGGTCTAGTGTTAGTTCACCAAAAATATGCAACATTGTGATATCTTGTGTTAACTATCACTAGAACTAAAAACATTCAGACATATTGCATTTTATGTGGGACAAAGTAAGCCCTGTTTTTTTATAGATACTTACAAACCAAGTATATAAAATATGTTTTTGTCCTTGACTTTGATAACTATACCAAATCAAATAACAATCCCCACTAAAAAAATTCCCAAACTTTTCCTTCCCAATCTCAACAGAATCATTTTTCCGAATTTTCCAAATTCTTGAAGTCCCAGTACCATCGTCTAAAAGTTGCGTTTCCGCGGCTAAAGACGGCCTTTCGTGCATAAGAACAGCGTCGAATTTAGTGATGGCTATTTTTTGATTATTTTTTTGCGCGCCGTTCGTTATTATTTTAGCTTTTTGGGAATCTTTTTGTCTCCACGAGACGAAAAGCATTTTAAACTCTTTCGGTTCGGCGCCATCGACGACTCTTGTAACGCTCGTTTCGTTGGCGTATTTCTTTTTCTTGACGAATCCGCGAGCATTTCTCATCGCTTCGGTGCGCTCTTTATCGTTTGCGCGTTTTCCAACCCAAACCCAAATTCCAAAAAGTCCATGATCCAAAATAAAAACATCCTAAAAATATTGTTTTGATTGAATTTGATTTATTTAAATTAGATCATTTTATTTACATCTGAATCTAAATCGGATTGAAGTAGAGGTCCTGATTTTATTTCGGTTACTCGGTATTTCCCATTATTGTCGGAACATTTATATAATTTAATGTTGTTTTTGAACTGTTTTTCGACAACTTCGTCTTTCTCTGGATCTGATGGGAGAACGTGTCTTTGATTTAATGGGAGGTATTTTTGAAATTCCGATTTTTGCTCGTTTTGTAATGATTGCTCGTAACCGTCATCGACAAAAACTAATGGGATATTATCGTTTTCTGATTTTAATTGTACCGCAATCTATATTAATAATTATTAATTAATTAAGTAATTTAAAAATAATTAATTTTTTACCTTAGTAGCGTGTAATTTTTCAATGCTATTTGCGGCTCTCCCCACCCAAACAAAAATTATTGTCGGTGTTAATAAAACGAAAACATCTCCGCTGTTGAAATATTTCCAAGAAACCGATTCTTGTTGGACCACCACAGGGTTTCTTTTACCCTTGATTTTGTAGAGTTTAATTTGATGTAATGAGTCGCCGTTTTGCTCGGCATGGCTTTTAAGAACCCTATTAAAATTTTAATTAATAACAAATTTATTTAATTAACCATAAACAACGTTTACATTAATTGCCTTCTAAATCATTAGAAAGTAAACCAATTTGTAAAACGCAACGTTTCACATCACATATTTAAATTAGTTGCGTTCAATTTACTACTGAATAAGTGACTTGTTAGGATGGTTTTCTCACGTGAAGAAAAGATAGTGTTTAATTACCTGAAACCGTTTTTAAAATAACTCCTAAACCTAGCGCTCTCATTTCCTTGCGTTTCCCGGTGTTGCGTGGCGCACCCACCGAGATAACCATCGAGTTCTACCGTCTTGTAAGCTGCTACACCAGACTTGTCGGGCGTCGTTAATCCACCCAACCAGAAGTGGATGTGGTATTCTAATAAACCTCCTCGAATTTCTCTAGTCTACAAAATGATCAAATAACAAAGAACGAACAAAAAATAAAACATCAATTCATACCACTGAGTCTATAGTTGCTGATTGTCCTGGTAAAGAAGCAGCTAAAATCACATAAGAATCATCGTCATAAAACGTTCCATACTGATTTCTTCCCAAAGCAACAACATTCATATTCTGCAAAAAGAAATCTTTTAAAAGTCTTTCATATTCTTAAATGAGAAGTAGGAAAACGAAACGTACCTCAATGCGCCAGATATGGAAACCTGCGGAACTCTTCGGTACTTTCTTGAAAGCCGCATCGACAACGACGGTACCGTTGGATGTTGTACCATTTGAATAAGCGTCATCCTGTAAGAGATAAACATAACACTAAAGGATGTTAGAGAAGAGAAAATAAAGATTCCGGTGCATTACGAATTTCGCGTTTTCGAGTACCGTTGTTACGATGTTAACTCGAATAACTAACTAGGATTATAATAAAACAGTTACAAAAGATATCTTAAAAACATTCTAAATTAAATACAATAAAAATTAACTCTCCTAACCTACTTATTATTCATCCAGGTCAATAAATTCATGAATAAAGATCACGTTAAACTTGGAATAAATCCATCTTAAACGGCTATGAATAATCCAAAAGCCGTGAATACAAAATAGATTATTATGTAGCGACTTACAACTTTCCTCCTTGTATTACATAAACTAATATAAACCAGTTTCCCGTATTATTGGGTTCTTAAATTAAATTAAATCATTTTCAAGGTGATCCCGTAACCAACCGTTATGCTCTTTGTGTGTTCGATGCAGTAACAGCGTGCGGAAAGTAACGGAAATTCAACGATAATTAACGTGAAAATGTGATTTTTTTTTTAATTTTATGGGCGATTTTACGACGTGTATATCAAGATTCTCGATAATGCTTTGCTTAACCATCTTAACTGTACTAAGATGTTAAAATGACATGAGTTAAACTGTAAATAAAAGAACGATTTATAAAAACACAACAAAAATGGTAAAATCTAGAGAAATTTCAGCAAAACAACTTATTCGTACAGGTTCCAGGTATGGGACATCTTGCAAGCAAAGGTGGAGGAGGTAATAGCATACTTAAAAAAGGGATACAACGATATAATACTCCTATTTTTTTACTCCTAGCTTTTGCAAAATCTGAATCAACATGGCCCAAGGATTGGTTTGCCTCTACTTTCATTTCTATACATAAGAAGGGTGCAACTATCGTACCATTTCCTTGATTTCGTACTCGAGTAAGATTCTGCTCCGAATTACTAATCTAGAAGTGTTTTGCTGAAGTTCAACGACTTTTAAAATACTTTGCAAAAGCACATAACCTATTTGTGCCGTAACCCAACCTCATTCTTATTTTTAAAAAAATCTCGGTATAACCTCATTATCCATAAAAAAGACGGTGCAACTCAGCTTAACATTTTATAAGATTTTCATTTTATACAGAATTATTCATAAGTAAAATTTATTACATAAGTTATCATCATAAGAATCATTGGGGTTTAGCCGTCTTTAGAGACGTCCGGCTAAACCCAAATGATTCTAGTTTTAGGTATAGTGGTAGTTCTACATANATTTTATCAAAACTTCAAATATTGTTTTCTCAAAAACTAAAAGTTATTTTTCAAAATGGGTTGGTTCATTGGAAAGAGGACACTTTTATTAACGCTTTGGGAAACTTTCATACTCATATTCCAAGAAATCGATTTTATACGAATTTTTAAAACTTAATCGGCGAAAATTGTAAAATTCGAAAATTCCACCACTACAAAATGCCATGCAAAATATATTTTTTTCAACAAAGGGTTCAAAAATAATAAGAACATTATCAGCTGAACTAACACAAGACCTAGAACTAGAATCATTTGGATTTAACCCGAATGTTTCTGGGTCTAGTATTAATCCTAGTTTTAATTGTTATTTACTCTACCAAAATGCGTGTTTTAACTGTTTTATTAAAAATAACATAATACTTATTAATACGGACCTGATGTCATAAAATTTATGACACGCGCCCGCTCGAAGGTTAAAGGGAGAAAAATATTACGTTGGCCAAACTGGACGTAACATCAAATACCGCATCAAAGAACGAGGAAAAATGATTTAACATTTACCTCCCCCTTTTTGTGTTTAAGTGACATTTCACAACTTCACCACAAGAAATATAGGTCAAATTAAATACCATCGATGCTATTATAACCTTTCGTTTATATTCTCAATTCAAAGTTGATTTTTGTTTAAACCTTTTTTAACATGATTTTGATTAAAATTTTTATATTTAATCCACAGTTATTAAAGTGGAATTAGACGTCGATTATATGCTTTCGTTGGTTACTTAAAAAGGTTGCCTTCCTGTAATTTGTGGTAATAAGACTCATGAAGTGTAAATATATGATTGGGATCATTAACTCGAACCAATTACTCTTTACACTCTAAAATAACCTAGAAGATAATTCGAAGCGAATGAAGTTATAAGAAACAATAAAATAAATTCGTGATGTGTGATCTAAAAAATCATCTTAGTGGAAATTGTACGTGAGAGTTTACAAACTTTACAACTTTAAATTTACAAAAAAAAAACTTTAAATAGAATTGTTTTTGTTTAAATATAACAGGATTTCTTAGAAAAAAGTCACCTTGAAGACAATTCTCGTGAATAAAAACAATTACAGCATTTCCTGGATTTGTTCAAAGCCTTATTCTTTTTATTTTTTTTTTACTTCTTAACAATAGTAGGAGACTTGCATGTTTAGGGAAGTGAAAGCAGAAACCTGAAAATGTTATCTAATAAACTGGCCGCATGCAAACCGTAACAGTTATGGTCGATTCTCTGATAATAATCGTAATGATAGACCACAACGAATGCAAGAATATTATTAGTTTAAGTTTATTTAATAACAACCCAACTCAGATCGATAAGAAGTGGCGTTACTAAACGTTTAAGAATTTCAAATAAACCGTGTTATTATACATTTTTCACTTTCTAACAATTATTAATCCTATTATTTCAATTTAAATATCATTTTGATCGAGTAATAATGAAAGGGTAAGGAAAATTTATTTTTGATTCTTCAAAAACTTATCATCTATTTTTTGATATCATATAATGAGATTTATGAAAGAAATTTTATAGTGTATTAAACAGTTTGTTATAAGAAAGCTTTAATAAAGTTATTAATACTGAAGTGTTAACGCCTAACGTTTCTTAAATTGTGTTAACGGGAGTCGTTAAATAATAACGACGTGATTGAACAGCCGTGATCCCAATTAGAGATCTGCCACCGGTTTAAATTTAAACCATTTTAAATGCAACGATAAGACACCTTTATTGGTTAAATCATAATTAATTAATTAAAAAAAAATTAATTTTCATACGTAATCTGCTTGTTGGATATCAAGGACTTGCATCGTAATGAAAAATTTCTTTTCTTCTCAATAAAAAAAAAATCTTCAAATTGCACTTTTCACAAAAACTTTTCGCGATTATAAAGTTCTTCCTCTTTAGACATGTAGCAATACCGAACTGTTACACGGAGAAGGACTTTTGAAGCAATGCACGCGGGCACTAACCGATGCTTGGCTTGTACTCTGGTGGGTAAGGTAAGTGAGTGACCCCCACACGTCTTCATCCCAATAGCCCTCTCTCCCATTCATGATGACGAATAGTGATTGGGAAAAAAATTTTCTTTTTATGGAAATAAAGACTAAAAATTATTGAATGTAATGAAAAGTGAAAAGATTATAATACAATAATAACTAGGAAGTTTCAATTTGTATAAATAAAAACGTTAGTGAAAGAAATTCTCTTTTACTAACTATATTAAAATTGATTTGAAAGAAATGTAAAAGGATACAAGAAATAATAATAATTAGAAAGGTTGTGATGTAATTTAAATAGAGTACAACAAATTTACGTCTTTAATTTAACACTTTTTTAATTGTGCTGAACACCTAACACTAAGCGATACAGTTTCTTACGGTATAACCCAGATAACACGTGGTCGGTTTTCCAAGATACAAATTAAAGGTAATATTTCAAAGCTTCTCTATCTCTTGGACACACGAACCATACTACTTACCAGCTGTTGGGTTTCTGTATAATCGTAAGAGATCCACATTCCATGTCCATCTGCCGGGTAAATGCTTCTCATCGTCTTTATACACCTAAAGCTACATTAAAAACGCCCATTTATGTTAAAGAAAAAATTAATATTAACACCTACACCTAAATTTTTTAATATCTATATCTTGGCAATAAGTGTATTTTGGAAAAATTAAAAAAACGATATCTGGTTTTATTTTTTCGATTCCCGAGCAAATATTTTTTCTTTGTAAAGTACGAATTCCTTTTTGTGTTGTCATAAACGTAATTGTTGAACCAGTTGTTATCAATTTGTGAAATGGAATTTGGAAAAAAATTATCTGAATTTTTGTACTTTTATTTCTTATTTTGAAGCATACAATTATCAAACAAATATAGTCGAAGAAAATACATGGTGCAAGGAGGGAGTAGGAATAATTGAACCGCGTTATACATCACTTGATTAACCCTTTGTATCCCGGCGGTACTTTAAAGTACCGGTAGTTTTAAACACTNCAACGCGTGGTTTAACCAATCAAACAATTACAACTATAACAATTAGACAAAAGAAAAGGAAGGGAAGGATGAGTCGAGCAGCGATCCCCTCTATCCGAGAATGAATAAAAATATCAATAATTAATTACCAAAATCTGAACTGATCTGCGGATCGCTACACATATAAGCATGAATGCCTCAACCAGACCAGATTTTATTGCATACTGGAATCTCATCTGTACAGTATAGAGGTTACACCTCTGAGAAGAGTTAAGAAAATATGACAAATACTGTATTTGCACATCATTCCCAAAAGTAATAAGATGAAAAAGCCTTGCTTTAGACCATATAAAAGTAAATAACATCTTTGATGTTAAAACTCGACGAGGAATACAAACTTATCAAATTAGAAGTATCGTACTTGAACTGGGTATTGTTCCAGATCCTGCTAGACCACTAGTTAGCGCTGACGTAAAAACAACGTTACTGGACGGACCTCTATTTATCTTGCACAACTGATCTCAAACATCAGAAAACAAAGAGTCACACTAAACTTCATTGGATCAATAGTCAAAGAAGCATCGGTAAACTTAGACGCAGAAGACACCAGATTTTAAGGAATTTTTGGGTTGAACAGTGTTTCTGGCCAACTTAATTTGAATTGCAACGCATTCCTTGTTATTTAAATCAGCAAATAAGGGAAGAAAATATTTTTTTTAATTTGCATTTTCTTGGAAACCAGGTTTTGCAGAATTTTTTTGCAAGATTTGGGTTGAACANTGCACGACAACGTACGACAGCACATCGGGCGTGTTGTATAGACCTTTGTGGAAGAGCACCGTATACGAATGCTTCCATGGCTAACTCGGTTTCCGCATCTGAATCCGATCGAACATGTTTGGGACATGACTGGTCGGAGACTTCTACGTTATCCGGCTTCCTCGGCTAACGTTGAGGAGCTATGGAGGCGAGTTGAGGTGGCATGGTTGGCCACCTCAACTCGCCTATTAACTCTCGCTATTGATATTTCTTTTCCCAGCAGAGTTGCGCCGTTCTCCATGTGAGAGTAAGTTACACTACTTTAGTACTACTTCCATACCAAATTTTATTGCGGTAGACACACGCGTTCTGATTATACAGGGTGTGCTCGTGAATTATTTCCAACAGTGTATATCAGAGATTTCACACACTTTGTAGAATCAATCAGGAGTATAAAGCTAGACCTTTAAGATACCAGTTAAAGATGCCGTAGATGATCTTCGCCAGAAACTCATCCAAAGTATGTCCAAGGACTAGTGGAGTACTGCCTATCGTCGACATATTTTAGCTGAAACGGAGAGTTCTAGAGCAATGCGAAGGGGCAGCCATAGGATCACCTCTGTCACCTGTGAAATAGAAGCTATGGCTCCGTTACGTCCGTTAACAGATCCTGGGGAAAGAGAAGAGAATTCTTAACATGAACGAGATTGTGTACGAACCGGACATCTTGCAAGCAAAGGTGGAGGAAAATGTCAAGCTGAATTGCAACGTTTTTTTATGGATAATGAGGTTATACCGAGATTTTTTAGAAATAAGGATGAGGTTGGGTTACAGCACAAATAGGTTATGTGTGTAGGTATGCTATTAATACTTAAAAAACCCTAATAAAACCTACATAACCTATTTGCGCCGTAACCCAACCTCATCCTTATTTCTAAAAAATCTCGGTATAACCTCATTATCCATAAAAAACGTTGCAATTCAGCTTGACATTTTATACAGAATCATTCCAATCACGTCACGATGTTTCAAAGCATCTTTAATTTTAGAATGTCTAAATTCAACCATATAAGCATGAATGTCTCAACCAGATTAGATTTTATTGCATACTGTATTCTCATCTGTACAGTATAGAGGTTACACCTCCGAGAAGCGTTAAGAAAATCCCATCATTCCCAAAAGTAATAAGATTGCTTTAGACCATACCTTATTATAAAAGTAAATAACATCTTTGATGTTCAAACTCGACGAGAAATACAAACTTATCATATTAGAAGTATCGTATTTGAACTTGGTATTGTTCCAGATGCTGCTAGACTACCAGTTAGTGCTGACGTAAAAACAACGTTACTGAACGGACTTCTATTTATCTTACACAACTGATCTCAAACATCAGAAAACAAAGAGTCACACTAAACTTCATTGGATCAATAGTCAAAGAAACATCAGAAAACTTAGACGCAGAAGACACCAGGTTTTAAGGAATTTTTGGGTTGAACAGTGTTTCTGGTCAACTGAATTTGAATTGCAACGCATTCCTTGTTATTTAAATCAGCAAATAAGGGAAGAAAATATTTTTTTTAATTTGCATTTT